GGAGGGTATATTAAGTTTGTCATTCCGTTTGTAACACCTCTGTCCGTCTGTGGAAATCACTGTAGCTTCCGAACGACTTGTAGTAGATTGATAAAATTTTGCTCATATGTATGTTATGTCTACAGGACTTTTGGTATTGAAAATGGGCCATGTAGGTCCACGTTTTGGTATAGCCCCCACTATAACGGTACCTCCCGATATTCGGTATTTTGATGATTTTAACGACATTATTCACCGGAATTGTTTCAAATTTGGTACTTGCAGTTCATTATAGATACTACAGCCTACGACAGAAAATTGTCTGTGAAGGTCCACGTCTTCGTATAGCCCCCATATAACTGTACCTTCCGATATTCGGTATTTTGATGATTTTAGCGACATTATTTACCCGAACTATTTCAAATTTGGTCTTTAAAGTTCGTAATGGATACCACAGCCTAAGACAGAAAATTGTCTGTGCAGGTCCACCTCTTCGAAAAGCCCCTATACAACGGTACCTCCCGATATTCGGTATTTTGATGATTTTAGCGACATTATTCACCGGAATTGTTTCATATTTGGTATTTAAAGTTCGTAAAGGATACTACAGCCTAAGACAGAAAATTGTCTGTGCAGGTCCACCTCTTCGTAAATCCCCCATACCTCCCGGTATTCGGTATTTTAATGACTTTAAGGACATTTTTCACCAGAATTGTTTCAAATTTGATATTTGAAGTTCGTAACTTATACTACAGCCTACGACAGAAAATCGTCTGTGCAGGTCCACGTCTTCGTATAGCCCCCATATAGCGGTACCTCCGATATTCAGTATTTTGATTTTATCGACATTATAGCCGATTTTTTTAAGTTTTGCATTTGAATATTCTAATGGCTTATGACAAATGTTACCTACGCAGGTTCATGTCGTCGTATAGACCCTAATATAATAGCTACATTCGGTATTTTTAAGATTTCAACAGAATTTTTAACGGATTTTATTGTTTTTGAGAATTGCCAAATTCGTTCCAAACGGTGGAGGGTATTCAAAGTTCGGCCCGGCCGAACTTACAGCTTTTTTACTTGTTTTTCCTTTTTTTCCTGCATACTTGTGTCTTTTTTTTTTTCTTCTTCTTTGCTTTGCCTCAGATTTTTAATTCCCTGAATATTTCTGTGAATGACCCCGAAATGCTGGTGAAATTCCTTTGAAATATTTTTCGGTTATTTTTTCGTGACTTTTTAAATGCGGGGTGTTACCGCGATACTTAAACAGCAACATCATACATATTTACAAAATTTATGGAAAGCTGGAGATTTTTTTCATGCTGCTGTAATTCCTGCATTTGTAATGATCTTTTGACTTGTGTGTGTGTGTGTGGGCCGTTTAGGTTTCAATTTTGTAATCGGTTTTTTTACTTTCACTTTTTTGTCTCTTCTTTTGTCGGATTGTCGGATAATGAAGTCGCCTTCCTTCGCCTCCCCCTTCCGTGCGGAATCTTAACCAGCATCACGACAAACCTGTTGACATGTTGGTGGCATTGTTTTTGATGCGTGGCTTTGGAAAATGAGGTTTTGATGGATTTTTTTTTTTTTTTTTTTTTTTTTTTTTTTTGTCTTAAAATCCTTTCAAAGAATTAAATGTCACGAAAATCAACTTTGAGGTGGGTTTTTCAGTGAATATCTGAGCAATCGCTTTTATAATTTATGGAGAGAAAAAACACGGATATATTTTCGCAGCACGAAATGGGTGGCATTTTGAAATCAATTGTTTAGAAGTGTTTTTTTTTTTTTTTTTCAAACCCAAATAATTGTTTTTAAGAAGCATCTGTGATTAATATCCACAGGGTAGGTACTGATAAAGAACTTCTTCGAACATAAGAACTGAAAATGGCTTATAAATTTCAAACATGACCTCTATTTGATAAAAATTGTATTTTAAGCGAATTTCGAATCAGCATGGCTGTATGGATATACAAGATTTAACATTTCTTTAAAAACGTTGACCATTTGAGGAGCGGGACATATGCAGCCCTAATTCGCATTTTTGAATGAAAGGGCTATATATCTCATATTTTTGACTTCGGTTTTGTATAAATATTATAATGTAATAATCAGAACCAATCGTGTATATTTTTTAGCCCTGTCCGTCCGTCCCATATAACGGTATTTTGTATTTTTCCCATTTTCATTTTCCATTTTTCAATGGAATTCTCTGAAATTCTACAAAAGCACTTCTTTGCGGGTATCCTACCCCCTGAAAGAGAATTTTCTATATAGCTCCACGATATCGTATAACTCTCATATAACGGTACCCCCTATATTCGGTATTTTGATGATTGCTACCCACATTTTTTAATGGAATTGTCTGAAATTCTACACAAGGAGTTCTCTCTGACAACATTATCCGCTGAACGAGAATATTGTATAACCCCCATACCATGGTAACCCCGATATTGGATATTATGATTTTAGTCACAATTTTCAATGATTCACCGGAATTGCGTCCAATTTCGTATTTGAAGTTAGTAATGGGAACCACAACCTATGATGGAAAATTGTCTATGCAGGTCCACGTACCTCCCCTGTATTCGGTATTATGATAATATTAGCGACATTATTCACCGGAATTGTTTCGAATTTCGTATTTGAAGTTCGGAATCGTTGCTATAGCCTATGACTAAAAATTACCTTTTCAGCACCACGTCTTAGTATAGCCTCATGTAAAGGCCTTTATTTGAGGGGTATATTTCGATGGAATTTTTTATTGAAATTTTTGAAGTTCTTTCCGAATGGTTTATACCCTTCACCAAAGCTCGGACAGTTTATTTTATACCTTCAGTCATATGGATAAAGGGTGTAATAATTTGATACGACCGAAACGTGCCTCATCGATATAACGGTTTTAGACCCTAGGTCTCTTTGGACCAAATCCGTTTCAGAACATTTGGAGTCGATTTAGCCATGTCAGTTCGTTTGTCTCTCTATCTGTCTGGTCGGCTGGTGCGTACGATAACTTTCGAAGGAAGTATGCGATTTGGTCCAAACGTGGTACTTCGTAATATTATTATAAAACTTAGATCTAGTTCGGAGATAAGAAATATAGCCCACTCTTCCTTCTGGCACCTCCCTCGCAAAAGGTCGAAAATTTCCAAAAAAAAAAAAAAAAAAAAAAAATACTGCCCAGAAAGAGAAAGGATAATCGATTTTTCTTCAATATTGCAAATCCTTATATTTGCATCAATACTAGGTTAGATGCGAAAATGAGCAATATCGGTCCACTCCATCAAGTACCTCTCCAACAAAGTTTCAACATTTTGAATGATTACAACTCTTATAAAATGTGATGTAAGGGTCCGATTGTCTTCAAATTTCACACATCCCAATAATTTTATTTTTCCAAGGTTTGGTGCCAAGATGGAATATATCGGTCCACTCATTCTGGTACCTCCCCCCAAAAAGTCGAAAATTAAAAAAAAAAATCTGCATAGAAAGAGAAACGATAATCCGATTTTGCCCCAGCTTTGCAAATCTTCATATTTGCGTGTGTTCTAGGTCAAGTGCGAAAATGGACCATATCGGTCCACTCTATCAAGTACCTTCCCCACAAAAAGGGCCAAAATTTTAAATAATTACAGCTCTTATAAAATGTGATGTAAGTGTCCGATTGTCTTTAAAATTTACACATCCCCAATAATTTTATTAATTAATTTTATTATTTTTGAAAAATTGTAACTCGAAAAATTTGATGTAAAAATTCGATTGACTTAAAATTTCACACATCCCAATATTTTCATAAACCCAAGATCTGGTGTTAAGATGGAATATTTCGGTCCACTCCTTCTGGTACCTCCCCCACAATAGGTCGAAATGAAACGCGAAATTAATATCCGATTCCATTTAGACTTGGCACATCTGAATATTTCTATCAACACAGGATCTGTTAGAACATCGATAGAGATCGGACCATTTCTTCTGGTACCTTCCTCCACATACAAGTGTTGTGAAGATGGGTTATATCGTTCAACTCGTTCTGGCATCTCCCCACAAAGGGTCAACATTTTGAATATCCATGAAACGTAAAATTAACATTCGATTCCATTCAGATTCAATTTATCTATCAACACAAGAATTGGTACAGAGATGGGAGGAATAGGGTCATTTCTTCTGGTACCTCACACTCAAAGGGTCAAATTTTTGAATAAATAAAACATTTATAAAATCCGAAATAAGCATAAGTTCTCTTTATATTTCCCGCATCCGATTATTTCCACTAACAAAAGATCTATTGTGAAGATGGGATATATCGTTCAACTCCTTCTGATACCTCCCCTACAAATTGTTAAACTTTTAAATATCCATGTAGCTCATAAAACGGGAAATTGACACCCAATTCCATTCACACTTGGTACATCTCAATATCTTCATCACCACATGATCTGTAATAAATATGGTAAAGATCGGACCATTTCTTCTCCATTCTCCCATAGGGTTCAAGATTTTTGAAAAACATAACGCTCAACCAAGGCGAAGTGTGCATTCGACTCTCTTCAAATTTCGCACAGACAAATATTGTTGTTAACACATGAGATATGCTATGAAAATGATATAAATCTGCGGACCCCTTCTGGTGCCTCACCCACAAAGGGTCCCAATTTTTTAAGCTTTTATCTGTCATAACCTGCGAAAAGAAGTCAGATTTTCTTGTAATTTTGATCAGACCAATATTTTAATCTGTATTACATGTTCATACTCCATTCAGTGGAATGCTTCAGTCGACTACATATTTACATATTGTTCTCACACTCGAGCAGTGATTACCAAGATGAGTATGAAAGCAAATGGTATTGAATAGGGAAATCTAATCGTGTGTTTTTTGACGAATATTTTAGTCTCATGATATGTATCACAAATAGGGATAGTTTATAAGGGCGTATACATATTGTCATAATGTATACGATACAGTGTTCTATTTCTCATTTAAAAATTCTATATCAAATATATAATTTCTATTTTTTTAATTTCAGGTATGTGCCCGGACAACTACAACGATGTTTATAATGGTAAGCAATTCAATAATTTTCTGGAAATGATTCATATAAAACTAAATTTATGACAGAATAAGAATTTAGTTATTTAAATGAGAAATGTTGCATTTTTTCTTTATGAAAATATATTTTTTTCGTAAAATCTAAATATTTTTTTTTAAGAGATATTTAACCTTAACCTCTGGTCAGGCATATACAATAACAAAATACAACCAACACTGATGGCTTGTACTACAAGAGGTGGTGAATATTCTTAAAAATCCAACTTTTTTTTATCCACGATGATGTTCAAAAGCCTTAGACTCACAATTTTTTGCCACGATTTTTTTTTCAAAATATATTTTAGAATCCGGGAAGTCATTGGAAAGTGCTCTTAACCCATACAGGATTTATGCCTAGAAAGATCATGTAAAATATTTTTAAAAAATCCAGGAAGCCCTTGAAAAATCTAATTAAAAATCCACAATTCTTGAGCAGGAAAAATAAATAAGAAAATTTATGTATTTTTTAATAAATAATAATTCATAAGAACCTATTCTTAGGTAATTGTTTTTGCAAGTATCAAAAAATACCACAGACCTCAGAAAAAATTCATGAGCTGTGGCTAGGAAGTTCGTGGAGAAAATTTCCTAGAAAACATTAACACCCGTCAACTTGACAAATATGAAAAATGGCAAAAATTTAAACACATCATAGACCTCGTTTGAATGATATGCGGTATATGACTTGAAAAGGAAAAATCCCCTAATATGGAAGTTTCCGAGGCACCATACGGTGTTATGTTATAATAAAATATTAAAATGATCGAATTTTTCCAAAATTATGACTATCTATGGTAGTGATGCCAAAAAGGTTCCAAATAAATTTAATTTTGATAAAATTTTGCACATATTTTGAGCGACATTATTATTCAGAATTTTAACGATGGTGGGAGATGCCAAAAGGAGTTGGCTATTTTCCATTTTCGCTCCTGCAATGACCTAAGCAGGCCATTTAATATTTGAATTTTTTATAAGAAAATTTTAAATCGTGAATATTATGAGCGTTATGATTTTTGTATGGAGGATACCTTAACGGATTAGTATATTTTTGTCAAGTTCGGACTTCCTTGCGTATTACCTTTGCTATATGAAATATTATTATTCCTACAAATGTTTAGCTTCTGTGGGTGTGGTACCAAGGTTTGGATCGATATTGCAATCTTCAAATCTTCAATACCAATTCAGTCCAAAAATATAACGATGTGAATACTCCATTCAAGAGTTGGCATGCGCATAAGGAACCCAGACAGACTGACGGACATGAGGGTCACTTTAGAGTGAGTAGGCGGGACTTTTTAAAATTCGTACATAAGGGGTACGAAAAGTACTAGACTATACGAAATGTAAAAAAAACTGTGCTGCAATTCCTCATAGGGGTCCCTAATTCGTCAAGTTAACCAGAGAAACTGGAAGTATATTTTCTAGGGTATGAAAAGTTCTGAAGGGTATACAATCATCCAACATTTTTATTAAAGGCTTAGACTTTGAAATTTAACACAGGTGCCACTATCAGTGCTACACATGGGATTTTGTGAGTTTTCTCGAAATTTCTACTGAAAGGTAGTAGAATGAATGAAAGCAAAAAATGTCGGAAATAGCATCAAATTTTAGAATTAGATTTGTAGAATTAGATTTGTAAGAATTGGTCACCTTTGGCACAAATTATGGCCTTCAAACGGCCAATGAAACCATCACAGGCTGCCCGAATGTTGCTCTGCGGTATTTTGGCCCGTTCCCGGCGAAGCATTTGCTTGAGGTGATCGACACTTTGGTATATTTTAGTGCCAACCTTGCATTTCAAAATTGTCCAGACACAATAGCCCAACGGATTGGTATCCGGAGATTTTGATGGTCACTGTGCGCTGGAAGTTAAGTGAGAAATCTCATTTTGTAACCATTTATGGGTGCGGCACGCTGAATCCTGTTGGAGTGTCCAAGTTCCGCGGCCAAAATGTTTGCTTGCCCAAGGCTTTAATACACCCTCCAGAATATTTTCGCCATAATATTCGGCATTTATTCTGGTGCCACGGTCGATTAATACGAGCGGAGAGCAACCATCGGCTGTTATGGCGGCCCATACTATCACCATGGCCGGCGCTTGAGTTCTGATGGCTAACCAAAGGTTTACATTTTCAGCTGACCTCTTTGGCAAGTAAACACGATCATTTTGTTTGTTTAGAAACTGTATCAGGGTAACGAGCGATGGTACGAGACACAAAGGATTTAAATGCTAATATAAAGAAATCACACTATCACGCTTGAATTCCATCACGAATAAGTTTTTTTCTGGAAAATTCTCACCGAAATGCTTTTGTACGCTTGAAAACAATATAATGAGCTGTCACTGTTTAAGAGCTGTCGGACGAATGGCTTAGAAATGACTGCAGTCTGAAGTTGGTTTCATTTCACCCTGTACAGCTAAAGTTCTTAAATTCTATTTAACGATGCTGAGATTTTCTGCAATTTTCAATTTCAAATCTTTCTTTTGGGGAATTGAATCTTGTACCAGACATACGAAAAATCTTCATTTCGATTCTGCCCATATTGCCAGCTAAAATACGTATTTTTATCAGAATAAATATTTCCTACTAGCGAACATCAATTTAAAATCAACTTTTTGAGAAGCTCTGCAAAAATATTTTCAAATTTTAGTAGACTTCCAAATATATAGACCAATATATGAGCTTCCTCAGGAAATACTCTCCCGTCCCGATATACATATTTAGTAAATTCACCCTTGAAAAATTCATATTTCTGTGAGTGAAATATTTAATAATTATTCCGCAATGGAAAATATGATAAAAATGCTAAGAGCGCGGAAAAGGGACACGGAAAAAAACATCAATCTTACAAAAGAATATTAATTGTTAAATTACTTATCAAAAATATAACGAAGCCTTAAGAGAATATCAAGGAGGATTTGTTTGTAATTTTTGTAAAATGGAAACAAAAGCAAATAATGTACCCCGAGTACAGGCGTTAGAAACGGAATCAAAGTCATAATTATAATTGTAGTGTAAACTCAGATAATTAGTTCCGTAGTTACCACCTACCGTCATTACCACCCCACCCCCCACTAACCTGTTCTGTTTTTGTAATAACAAAACACAATACATCAATTAGAGGAAAAGTCTTGGAGTGACAATGATGGCCAATTGTGTTTGGAGCCATGAAAATGGCTGACTGGATGGCTGGCTGAATGGATGGATTGTTAATGGAAAGTGACAATAATTGGTAATTTGGTGACATTCTTACCAAATGCCAATATCAATTTCGCCCACGACAACAATAACAATACTAATAACAATGGGTTCATTTTCTCGGAATTCAGGGCAAAAAGTGTAAACGGGACAGGGAGAGAAATAAGGAAAGAAATTTAGGGAGGAAGCAAAAATGACAATATGGACAAGTAGCACCCACGCAAAACTAAAGAAGAAGCAAAAGAAAATAACAACGAAAAGGTCAGAAAAAATAATCAGAAGACCGCTAAAGAGGTCTACCACCCATAGGAAAGGTCTTCTATTAACAGAAGAGGTCATCTAGCTAAAGAAGAGGAATTCTAGCCATAGATGAAGTCTTCTATCCATTCATAGAAGAGGTCTCCCACTCATAGAAGAGGTCTTCTATTCATAGAAGAGGTCTTCTATCCATTCAAGAGGTCTTCTATCCATAGAAGAGGTCTTCTATTCACATAAGAGATATCCTATTCATAGAAGAGGTCTTCTATTCACAAAAGAGGTCTTCTTTTCCTAGAAGAGATCTTCTATTCATAGAAGAGGTCTTCTATCCATTCAAGAGGTCTTCTATCCATAGAAGAGGTCTTCTATTCACATAAGAGATCTCCTATTCATAGAAGAGGTCTTCTATTCACAGAAGAGGTCTTCTTTTCCTAGAAGAGATCTTCTATTCATAGAAGAGGTCTTCTATCCACAGAAGAGGTCTTCTATCCAAAGAAGAGGTCTTCTATCTATAGAAGAGAACTTCAATCCATAGAAGAGCTCTTCTATTCGTAGAAGAGGGGTTGTATTCATAAAAGAGGTATTCTATTCACATAAGTGACCTTCTATCCGTAGAAGAGGTCTTCTATCCATAGAAGAGGTTTTCTATCCCTAGTAGATATCTTCTATACATTGAAGCGGTCTTCTATCCATTAAAGAAATCTTCTATCTACATAAGAGGTCTTCTATCTATAGAAGAGATCTTCTATTCATAGAAGAGGTCTTCTGTCCATAGAAGAGATCATCTATCCATAGAAAAGATCTTCTATCCAAAGATGAGGTCTTCTATCCATAGAAGAAGTCTTCTATCCAAAGAAGAGGTCTTCTATCCATTAAAGAAATCTTCTATCTACATAAGAGGTCTTCTATCTATAGAAGAGATCTTCTATTCATAGAAGAGGTCTTCTGTCCATAGAAGAGATCATCTATCCATAGAAAAGATCTTCTATCCAAAGATGAGGTCTTCTATCCATAGAAGAAGTCTTCTATCCAAAGAAGAGGTCTTCTATCCATAAAAGAGGTCTTCTATCCACAGAAGAGGTCTTCTATCCATAGAAGAGGTCTTCTACCCATAGAAGAGGTTTTCTATCCATAGAAGAGGTCTCCTATCCATAGAAGAGGTCTTCTATCCATAGAAGAGATCTTCTATCCATAGAAGAGATCTTCTATCCATAGAAGAGATCTTCTATCCATAGAAGAGGTCCTATACTCACAGAAGAGGTCTTCCATCCATAGAAGAGGTCTTCTATCCACAGAAGAGGTCTTCCATCCACAGAAGAGGTCTTCTATCCATAGAAGAGATCTTCTATCCATAGAAGAGATCTTCTATATATAGAAGAGGTCTTCTATTCATAGAAGACGTCTGCTATCCATAGAAGAGGTCTTCTTTCCGAAGGAGAGGTCTTCTATCCATAGAAGAGGTCTTCTATCCATAAAGGAGGTCTTCTCCCCATAGAAGAGATTTTTTATCCATAGA